GGCGTTCGATGTGGGGCTTACCTTGGGCGGGCTGGTGACGGGGCACCACAATTGGAGAAGGGTGCTGCTTGCAGTGGTGAGTATCATGGGCAGATTTTGGGCAGAGCCTAGGGTCTTTGGAGTGTAGCTAACTGTGGGGGAAGGTCACCTCCCTGGTTTAGGGAGCTCTCTGGATTGCTGCAGGAGTTAATTCATGCACCTGAATCCCCCACTCAGTCTCCTAATGGGTGAATTTACTGATCGCCACAGAGCTCTCAATGCAAGCTGCTTACCTGGGTGCATTCTTGCCTAAAGTCCAACCCTGCTAGTATTTTAAAGACTGGTGATAAACCTTCCAGCATAATAGCAACATACAAGCGGGCACAATATGAAAAACTGGCACCCAAGTGGTGGAATCTTGATGATTAATCATAACTAATTCTGTTAAAGATGAATTAGTCCTTTGAAGTTATTTTATTCATCAGTTGCCCCTTATTCTATATGTACCTGCTCATTTACTTTCTTACATTGACCCTTTACCAACCACTTAGTACTTTTTACTGTTCCATAATTCTTTATATTTGTTATACATGTCTTTTGAGAGTGTATATATTTTTCTATGGACTTAAGAATCAACTCTGAGTTTTCCATGTGTACCACCATATCCATTTTGTGATTTTTATTTGCATTATTTTGTCACAACCTCAAAGCTAATTGGTATGCTTTCTTTTAGTTTGAACTTACTGAGATCTGAGTGAAAGTTTATGAAACAAATTAGTTTTTATTCAGCAATATATACACATTCTGTCTCATGATCTTGTTTACAATCCCCACAATATATCAGTCTTTTTCCTACTTTCTGTGTTCTATTTCCATTTGTCCTTCTTTCCCGACCCTTCCCACGTCCTGAGCTTTGTTTCTGGACAAATGCTATCTTTCTTCACTGTTCATAGACATGTACTCTTAAATTGAAGTGTTTTCATAATTCAGGCATATTTTAAAAGCAAATCACAAAAATGTACGTTTCACTTTAAGAGTCTGTAACTCTTCCCTTGAAGGAAAGAAATTCTACTTCTAAATTATATATTTAAAGACTTTACTTGCATATAAGTATTTATATGTGCAATCATATCTTTTCCTTATATTGCTAGAATGTTTACGTGAATCTATTTCTGGCTGCATCCATTAAATCGGAATTCAGTGTACTGTATAATCCATATTGTGTTCATCTTCTCTCTAGTAGCTAATAATAAGGAGAAGGAAAGAGAAGTCAATGTGTTCTAGACTGATATATATGTGCTAGAATATAAGTAAAAAGTGCTATCAACACCCAGGAGATGGTGACAATTTTTTCCTTCATCCTTTAGTATGTAAGAAAACCATTTAGGGTTGCTCATTTATAAACTGTTAAAAATATATTCTTTGAGAATTTTGCTGAAACGTCTAAAGATAGAAGGTGGTCATAACAGTTCTTTTTTATTGCTGAATTTTTTAGTTAGTTATTTTAAAAAACATTTTATTAGGACATAATCCAGACATCATATGATTCAATAGCTTAGTCACACCAAGAAGTGTTGTACAATCACTACCACACTCGGTTTTGAAACATTTTCTTCCTTCTTGTATTCCTTGCTATTAGCTCCCCATTGCCTCCCAACATCCCCTGCCCGCCCCCCCCCCCGCCCCACTGAAACCCTTAACTGAGTTATTATCTGTATAGATTCATCCATCCAGGGTTTCATATGCCAAAAAACAGAAAAATACGTAACAGAGATAAACTCCGCTTTGAAAGGAAACAAAATATTAAAAACTAGAACAAACTCAAAGTGTGTCAAAGGGAGACCAAATGATAAGATTTTAACCATTTAAATCATTTTTCGTTTTAATCTATAATCTTCTCTACAATACTCTCTGTCTAATCACTGGGTTATTCCCATCTCTCCTCACTTATGGTCAGAGGAAAATCACCGGAGGCCTGGTCTATGTGTAGAGCCTGCAAATGTATTTTGGTTTTCCACTATCATCCGTGGCCTTCTGCAAACCAGAGTTGCACACTTAAGCTCTGATACTATTCCCCTCTTCAGATTTGGTTGGTATAGTTTGTAATCCTTGGATCATAGATGTTGGTGTGCTTTTTCCACGTGGGCTTAGTTGACATCACACTTAGATGGCTGCTTATTTGAGAACAAGCCTTTAAGTCCCTAGATACTATTCTTTCTGATAGTTGACACCATCTAGTTTCTTCACTACACTTTTCTGTAGCACCCATATCTTCTGTGTTTCCTTTATGAGGGTATGTGTTAAGCAGGGATATGTCTAAGAACTAATTGTTTTTAGATTGGCACTAGGATTAAGTGCAAGCCCCATATCCATTCCTACATATACTCCCATAAACAATTACAGTCTTAGATATTCACAGGGGCAGTTCTACCCTGGCCTATAGTGTCGCTATGAGTCAGTATTAACTCAATGGCAGTGTTTTTTGTTTTTCATTTCTACTTATGGACAAATAATATTTCATTGTACTATCTTTTATTTATTCGTATAGTGAAGAGCACTTGGGTTGTGTTTACCATTTTAGCATTTGTGAATAATGCTGGAGTTTATATACACTGATATATAAGTATCTGTGTTCTTGCTTTCAATTCCTTTATGATTATGAAGGGACTTCAAAAAGTTCATGGGAAAATGGAGTTTAAAGATAAAGGAATTTTTCCACAAAAATTTTAAAGTCCGCCCCCCCAAAAAAAACCAACTTTAAAGCCCTCTTGGTCTCCTAGGTCTAGAATTGTTGGATCATATGGTATCATTTTTGTTTAACTCAGGATTGATGAAGATATAAAGACAGCAAGAAGAATATGGGTTTTGTTTGTTGGGGGGACAGTGGCAGTTGAGGGGCAGGTACAAGGGAGAAGGAAGAGAATGTTTGAAACTGTGGCAGAAATTGTACAGTACTACTTGATGTGATTGAACTATGGAATACTGTGATATCCGTATTAAATCCCAATAAATTTGTTTTGAGAAAAAGTAGCAAAATCTTATATAAAACTAATCTATTAGTTTAACTCAGTATGCTTTGGAATCATTGTCAAATGAAAGGCTTTACGATAGTATTTTACTTACTAGTAAAAAGTCACATCAAAAGTATAATAGCTGATAAAATCTCATTTTGGCAAAATATAATTTTAATAACAATTATCAGCCTAATTAGTAAATTTTAATTTTAGGTATCTTATATATCCAATGTAATCTTGTTTTAAGTTACCTATTTAAAAGGAATGTTAAATGCTAAGGAAATATATTAACAGTATGTTCCCTCCTGTCTTTTCTATTTAGATGGTGTTATCGGAAAAGGTTAGCCAGCTAATGGAATGGACCAATAAGAGACCGGTAATAAGAATGAATGGAGACAAGTTCCGTCGCCTTGTTAAAGCCCCACCAAGAAACTACTCCGTTATTGTCATGTTCACTGCTCTCCAACTTCATAGACAGTGTGTTGTATGCAAGTATGAACTTTTAAGTACTCTTTACAATTTAACAACTCATAAGATCTTAACTACTTCTAAATCACAGAAGCACCAAATTAGTTCACTTGGGTAAATAAATAATTATCGTCTATGCTCGTGTATAAGCCAAGGTTTTCAGCACTTCTTTTTGGTTGCAGTTTTTGTGGTAAAATTAGGTGCTTCTGCTGATATTCGGGTTGGCTTATACGCGAGTATATACGGAATTATGCGTACTTTATTCAGGTCATCTATAGTAACACATAAATACTGGGGTTTTTTTTTACTTCCAGATTTTTAATTATTTGTTTTTTAAAATCATTTCATTGGGGGCTTTTACAGCTCTTATAACATTCCATACATCGATTTTATCAAGCATATTTGTGCATATGTTGCCATCATCATTTCCAAAACATTTCCTCCTTGATCCCTTGGTATAAGCTCCTCAATACTGGTTCTCTTTTATGGTTAATTCTTGGTTGTGTATTTGTTATATGCTGTTAAGTTGATTACCACTGAAAATGATCCTGTATGACACAGTGAAATGTCTCATATGATTTCCTAGGCTGCAAATCTCAGGGCTTTGAACTGATTCAAACCAGTTCAGCTATGGCCAATGAAGTGAAAGTGGAACAGATTCAAATTTTTAAAATTGGAGTAAAGCAGAATCATTACTGCAATAGGAAAAATTATAGGTTGAAGCCCTGGAAGAGGTATAATGAGTGATCCCCCTCAAAAAGCTTGGATTATTGGAAGATAAGAATATTGCTAAAACTATGGAGAGTGTCGCGCAATCAAAGCACACTATTCAAAGCTGTCATCTTTGAGTGGCTCACAGTAGTTTCTGACTACTGATCAAGAGATTTTGTTGCTATGCAATATAAACATTTCAAAAAAATATATATATAAACATTGCCCTTGTTTTCTAAGGAGTTTCTGTCAGAGCATTAACCTGTCATTTTTGTCCTTCTGGATATTATTCCTGTTCACGCACATTTTTAAAATTCCAGTTTCTTTCAATTTCACTTTGTCAGACATGACTGAATGGGGAAGACCAGTCTGAAGCCCTGATAAATCTTTACAGGAGCAGGTTGCCATGTATGTTCTCCCATGGAGCTACAGGTGGGTTTGAATTGCCCACTTATAGTGAGGGGAACAAAAAGTATGGATGACGTATGGTGGTGCTCATCTTCTTAGAAATTCGTAACCAATTGCATTGAAGTAGTATTCTACTCTTTCTAAATGCTGTTCCACTTCATACCAGAAGTTCGGTAAAGCCAAATAGTCCCCCATTTTTATGAAGACACAGACCCCAAAACTTCAGCTGGTATACAAACGAGCAGCCATCTACGTGAGGTGTCAAGTAAGTCCACAGGGAAGAAGCCCACCACCATCCGTCACCAAAGGGTTCTAAATCATACAATCCAAAGCTGAAGGAGGGAATAGGAGCAGAACCTAAACTGTGAGAATCCAGTTTGCAGAAAGCTCTGGATGACAGTGGGAGCCCAAGACACGTTTGTGGGATCTACCTAGGAAATTCGCTTCTTGTGATTCCCCTCTATCCATAATAGTAGGATGACAAGAAACTGGGTAGCAAACAGTGCATTGGAGAGATGACTTTGGAAGATCAAAATGATAAACCTGACTTGAATGGTTAAAGCATTTTCTGTATTTTTTTTTGTTTGTTCATATTGGGGTTTATTTCAGATGTATTTTGTCACTGGGGTGAACTTCTTGAATTGTTGTTGTTTTTCAGTATATGAAAACCAGAATTGGTGATCCTATAGAGACAGCAAGTACAATAAGGATGTCTTGGGGGTATGGGGTTGGGGGCTGGGGGGTAAAAGGAAGCTGATGCCAAGGAATTCAAGAAGGAAGATAATGTTTTGAAACTGTGGTAGCAATTGTACAATGTTTGATGTGATTGAACTATGGAACAACATAGCTACATTAGCTGCCAATAAAATGGTATACCTATAACTAGAACTATATACTAATGGAATAATGTTGACTCATCTAAATTTAGTTTATAAGAGAACTGGGTTTGCTTGGGTTTTTTTATTAAAAGATGTGTAACTTACAGATTTTCCTTATAAATCATTTTAGAGTGAGTGTAACCTTAGAAATACAGAATAATCTCACGTAAATTTTAATAAAGCAATAATATATTGGCTTTATATTATTGTTTCTGAATGGTCTTAGGAATAAAGATGGATCTTTCAGCAAAGATACCATGGGTAATTCAAAATTACAGTTATTCAAAATATTTTTTCCTTTTTAAATATGTTTTATGTATTTTTAGATCGGTATATATGAGCTGAGATTTCACTTTAAATGAAATAGCAAAGCTACCCTGTAAAGAATTAAGTTAACAAGAACTTGGAGATTCTCCAAATTCTGACAGCCTGCTCCATATGAAAGAACACATTTTCCTTTCACAATAGATTGTGTGCTATCGTAAGCCTTGATAACTTTTCTTAATGGATTTTCTCCTTGGAGGTGGGGAATGATAGCTAAGCTAAGGTGTTTGGTTCTAAAGTGTTTGGTTTTTTTTAGGGGGGTGTATCTGTTGAGTGTATATCAGAGGCATTTCAAAAAAAACGAATAGACTAAGGAAAATGATAATTACCTGTGAATAAATGTAAAATCTAAAATTACTCCCCATTCGACCAATTAACTAGCAATCATGAGTGTATGTTTTAAGGAATTAAGCACAAAGTCCTTAATAATTTCATCTTAAATACAAATGGTGCCCAGCTAGCAGAAAGAATAAAGTCTGGTATCTCAAAGGCTTATCTTAAAGCAAGCAGCTATCTAAATGAGGTGTCAGTTGAGTCCACATGACGCAGCACACCCACCTGAGTGATCCAAGGATTGTAAGTACAGTAATAAAATCCAAGACTGGAGGAGGGAACTGTATTAGAGGTTACATTCTGAGCACCCAGTTTTCAGAAGGCTATAGATGACAGTGAAAGTCCAAAATCCATTGACAGGTTGTGGATTAACCCTCTAATGAATCCCCTCTGACCCTTGCTATCAGAGTGTAGTGTAAGGTGGATTAATGCAGATGTAGTTAGGTTAAAATATAATACCTTATCATTTTCTTTCCCTTTTGAATCATTTTAAATTTTAGTTTTTAATAGTTTCTGCTTTCTTTTCAATTGAGGTTTTGCTGTTTTATTTTGTTAGGTTTTTTTGATTGTTGTGTTTTTTATGTTTTCCATTATATGAAATCCAGGAAAGGTAAATCTGTAGAGACAGAAACTGGGATTACCCTTGCAGAAGGGCCGTGGGGAGGAGATGAGCCAGTCAGGTTGCAGTGTAGCAATGATGAAACATACAATTTTCCTCTGGTTCTTGAATGCTTCCTTGCCTCCACTATCATGATCCCAATTCTACCTTACAAATCTGGCTGAACTGGAGGATGTACACTGGTACAGATAGGAACTGGAAACACAGGGAATCCAGGACAGATGAACCCTTCAGGACCAGTGGTAAGAGTGGCAATAGCGGGAGGGTGGAGGGAAGGTGAGGGAGAAAGGAGGAACGGATTACAAGGATCTACATATAGCCTCCTCCCTGGGGGATGGACAGCAGAGAAAGTGGGGGAAGGGAGATGTCAGACGGTGTGAGTTATGACAAAATAATAATAATTTATAAATTATCAAGGGTTCATGGAGGAGGGGGGAGCGAGAAGGAGGGGAAAAATGAGCCGATACCAAGGGATCAAGTAGAAAGCAAATGTTTTGAGAATGATGAGGGAAACAAATGTACAAAAGTGTTTGACACAATGGACGGATGTATGGATTGTGATAAATGTTGCATGAGCCCCCAATAAAATGATTTTTTAAAAAGAGCTGTATGAGCCCCCAATAACATGATTAAAAAAAGAAAGAAAGAAACTGGGATTAATAGTTTCTTAGGGTTAAGTCTGGGAAGTTGGGTGGGGCGGGGAATCGGGAACTAAATATAATGAGTACAAAAAAGAAGAAAATATTCTAAAATTGATTGTGGTGATGATTGCATAATTTTTTATTATGATTAAACCATGATTTGTATGCTATGTGAATTATACATCTACAAAGTGGTTAAAATGCAAATGCATATCATTTTTTTAATATCATTCTTACTGATTCCCTCCTGGTATCTTATTCTACAGGACAAAAATTAAAAATAGATCAGATTTTCTAAATTCATTCAACAACTAAAAATTAAGTAAAATGAATGTGTATAATACAATATACAAGGGAACTTCAAAAACTTTGTGAAAAGATTGAATTAAAAAAATGTATAACTTATCAAGGGTTCGTGAGGGAGGGCAGGCGGGGGAAGGAATGGGAAGAAATGGGGAGCTGATATCAGGGTCTTAAGTGAGAAGAGAATGCTTTGAAAATGATGCTGGCAGCATATGGGCAAATGTGCTTAACACATTGGAGGAATGTATGGATTGTGATAAGAGATGTAAGAGCGCCCAATAAAAGTTTTTTTTTAATTATAGACTGTTTCTATGTACTTTTGGGGCCTTCTTGTATTTAGTCTTGTTGATATGAAAAGTATAAGAGGGAGGTCCTTCTTTATCATCTGGTAAGGGAAATTAGTTATATACATGAAAATTTATCTAGCAATGTAAGGGAATTTATACATAATAAATTCTATAAAATTGCTGGAGGCCATATACCAGGAATGGTTAAGATTGGCCTAATGGAAGAGATAAGACGTGTGCTAAGCCTACACAAGATATATCAGATTTCCGCTGAAGCAAGTTATTCTGGTTTGAAGCACTGTGGAGTATAAGGGTACAGAGACAGTAGTAAACAAAGTGCTGGAATTAAGATATCCTGTTTGAGAATAACTGGTGGTATTGCTAAATAAAAGGATCCCTGGTGGTGTATTGGTTACCGGTTGGCTGCAATATGCTTGGTCGGCAGTTCGAAACCACCAGCAAATCCACAGGAGAAAGGCTGAGTTTTCTACTCCCAGAAACGGTTACAGTCTCCAAAACCCACAGGGGCATTCTCTGTGAGTTAGCATTGACTCAATGGTAGTGAGTCTGGTTTTTTTATTTGCTAGATAAAAGCTAGATGTGTTCTTTGGAGCTAGATGGTTTTTAAAAACTAGAACTTAATAACTATTGAAAAGATTTGGAGATTTTATTCTGAAGATAATAGTGAAGCAACAACGATTTCTGAGATAAAGGTTTTGGGGAAAGTAGTCCTTGTGAAAACTGATACTGACTCAAGATAAACCCTCTACCGATCTTGCCTTATTAAGATAACAAAGATAGCCCATTCCCAAATGGGATTTTAACTATGGAAATAGAGGTTGGGATTTACAAATCACAGTTTTAGGGTGACAGAATTCAATCCATAACAATGGACAACAGATATGAAATATGAAGTGGTGTCAAGTAATTACAGTTGACCCTGAACAATACACATTTGAGCTGCACAGACCCACTTATATGCAGGCTTGTTTTTTTCTGTTGCTGTTTTTGTGAGCTCAAGCTTTGCACATATCCATGTAAATGTTGATAGGTCAACTGTAGTACTGTGTAGTGAAACCCCCAACACTTGAGCTAAGATTTCTCTTAGGACAAACCAATGGCAGAATTTTCCAGGTGTATCTTAACCCTTTCAAGAGAACCTGCTATGATTGTCAGTTTTAAAAATACACTTTCCTCTATTGGAAAAACTCTGCTCTTGCATCTGTTTTACACGATACACTAGCTTGTTTTTTAATTTTACTATCTTCACAAATCTGATTGTTTCCAGGCAAGCTGATGAAGAATTCCAGATTCTAGCAAACTCATGGCGATACTCCAGTGCATTTACCAACAAGATATTTTTTGCTATGGTGGATTTTGATGAAGGTTCTGATGTATTTCAGATGGTAAGATCTTCGGTTCATTTTATTAGTAGGAACAGGTAAAATTTGGACAAAGTGGGATGCATTTTATGTTAAATGATCACAAAATTTCTTTTGTATGGCTGAACAGTCTCTAACAATGAAATGTAGCAATTAATGATCATGTATTTGAATATGAAAAATGGGTAATATCTAGCTATCAAGTAGTTTTTGAAATCACAGCATGACTCCTACAATTATGCCGCCTTTGTTAGTCTGGGTAGACTAGAGAAACAAATCCATAGAAACTCATGTGTATAGAGAGAGTTTTATGTAAAGGGTAATTGTACATTAAGAAAGCATCCCAACCCAGTCCAAGTCCATAAGTCTAATATTAGCCCATATGTCCGATGCCAATCTATAAAGTCCTCTTCAGACTCACGAAACACATGCAATGACGCCGAATGTAGGACGATCGCAGGCCAGTGGGTAGAAAGTCATTGGATCCAGTGGCTCTCTAAGCATCTCAGCACTGGCAGGGGTATTTACGTAGCTTCTCTGGCTTCAGAGGTCTGGTTACATCAGGGTAGACCCATGTGGCTTCTCCAGCTCAGGGCACTACGGTAGTTCCATGTGTCTTGTTAGCTGAAATGTCTCCCAGGGAGTGAGCAGAGCGAGTGTGTCTCCCATTTCCAAGGAGGAAAAATCAGCAGTTCCCAGAATTCTCGGGAGAAGATCATGCCCACACAGAGGTCCTATTGGCTATCTCTAGATTGACAGACTAGACTCCACCCCTACACTCTTAATCCTCAAATTGACACCCGATAGGGTAACTACCACACCACCCTTCTGTGGTTACTTTGAAATACTTAACAGAATTGGGTACCCTTGCCTCTTGTCTTAATGGAAAAACTTCTGGTTCTAAGATAGATCCTTTTACTGTGCCTTAGATCCCATACTTGCCTGCTTTATTGTTTATGATCTTCTCTCTCTGTCTCTGTCTCTCTCTGTGTAAGATTATAGAGCAAATCAGTTTTACATTCAACAATTTATACACATTTTGTTTCATGTCATTGATTGCAATCCCCTAATTATAACCTCGCTTATCCCACTCTTTGTATTTCCCATTTCCCATCTTCCTTCTTTCTGAAC